TGCTGAACACCAGCTCCAAAGGTAGGCTGAGTTCAGAATAAGTGGCTTTGTTCTAGTAGATGATGTCTTGCTTCCAACTGGGTCACTTCCTCATGAAAGCTTATTTGGAAAAGTCCAAGTGAGAATGTCCTTACAGACAGGAGCTGTGGACTTCTGCACTTCAGTTGGGTTGGAGTAAACAGCAGTACCTGGATGCAAAGTCTCAGAGGTCCTGTGAGGCAGGGCTTAGTCAGCTGGGACACAGTTCTGGTCAGGATGCCCTACAGTTTGTGTATGTGGGGTTTAAAGTAGATCTCCAAGTCCAATCTACTTTTGTGCAGGGCCAGCATCATGTGTTGCTGGTTATTGTGCACTAAGGAAGGCTGAAGAAAAGGGTGTGTTTCCTTGCCCTATCACCTGGTGTCAACCTTTCTGTTGTAAGTTAATATCCAGAGAGATAAAACCTGGAGAAGAAATACCCTGGATGAGCTAAGACTGGAATTTAAGTAGTGCTGTTTAGTACCTATTACGGTACTCGTTTGAAAGCCAGAAGAAAAAAAATCACTTGTCCAAAGAAACCTACTGCCTTTTAAAAGTGTTAATTCTGAGGTGTCAAGAAGGTTTGTGCATACCAGTGTCCATTTATGTGCCCTTAGGTGATGCTCTGAATAAAAGTTAGCTCCTTTTTTACCTATCTGATCACCTGAAACATGTTGTGTACAGAGCTTGTTGTAGCAAACTGGGTACCAAACTGAAGAACTGCTAAGAAACGTTATTAAAACTCCATTTCAGCACCTTACTGTGAGTGGGAAATTATGTCCTTCTAGTCTTGTTGATGACCCTTTAGCCCTCTTAACTAGCATTTTTTGCTTTGTGCTTCAGCCCTACATAGGATTATTTGCCTTCTTGCTCCAAAATAATCCTGCTGAGAAATACTGTGTAATATTTATTACAACCATGAATTCCGTGGGTCAAAAGAGATGTCCTACCTGTGTGTTGTAGACTCAAACAATCCACCCGTGGGCTGGATGCTGCCAGGGAGGTGGAATCCTGGGGGGAAGTCTGTGCCAGGAACGGTTTGGTTTGGTTTTTTCTTAGTTACATTTTTTTTTCATTATTATTCTTCAACTGCAATGGGTTTTGTTTGACCAATAAGAAAAAAAGGACCATCACTCTTGGGGAGCCTGGGAGGCTGTTTTAATTTAGGGCAGAGGAACAAAGCTGTTGGGAGAGGTGGGGACGCTGTGCTCGGGGAGAAGCGGCCGAGCCATCACCTCTTGCCCTTGAGGAGCAAAGCAGACACCGTTCCACGTGTAACCCTTCCCTGATGAGCCCCGGGGCTGATGCCAATTAGCGAACGGCCGGCAGCGCCCGCCCCTCTGCGGGTAGCCCAGGGAGCTCACGTCCTCAGCAGTCAGGAAGTGTTTGTGGAAATACAGGTGTTCACTTCAGCTTCTCTCTCTCCTCCCCTCAGGTTACAAATCGCTATTTGTCACAGTTGAAAGATGCTCATAAAAATCACCCCTTCATCAAGGAGTATCAGGCAAAGGTACTAAGGACTTTCTCAGATAAAATGGGATTTCTCATGCCTCAAACCTCTGGTGGGGGGAGTGGGTGGATGCTTTACAGCTGCAGCTCTGGGGGGCAGGTCCCTGTTCTCTGTCACATCAGCTGGCAGCAAAATTTTCTAGCCCATGTAAGAGATTCTGGGAGACAGAATCCAGGGGTTAAACAAAGGGCTGATGCACCCAAACCTGGAAGTGTCTTGAAGGAATAACTCTGGAATATGGGTTCTTAATCTAAGTCACAAGTGTGACATCAGAGGTGTTCAGCCTGGAGAAGAGAAGGCTCCAGGGAGACCTTAGAGCACCTTCCAGTGCCTGAAGGGGCTCCAGGAAAGCTGGGGAGGGGCTTGGGACAAGGGCAGGGAGGGAGAGGACAAGAGGGGATGGATTCAAACTAGAATATGGGAAATTTATGTTGGACATCAGGTGTAAATTCTTCAGTGTGAAGGTGGTGGGACACTGGAACAGGCTGCCCAGAGATGTTGTGAGGGCTGGAGATGTTCAAGGGCAGGTTGGATGGAGCTCTGAGCAGCCCATACTAGTGGGAGGTGTCCCTGCCCATGCAGGGGGGTTGGAACTCGGTGATCTTTAAGCTCCCTTCCAACTCCAAACGTTCTGGGATTCCCCTTCACCAGGGGTGCTGCGTGTTGGCTGCGTGTGGAGGAGCATACAGCAGTTCATGGGAGGCTTTTCCGCAGGTGCAGACCCACGTTGGGTCTTTCTTGGACACGTGAAGTCGAAATAAAACAGAGGAATGTGCTTCCTTACGTATCAATACATGGATATGGAGTTGTTTTAGTGTGAGAGCCAGCTGGTGCATACAAGGCGCTTCCTGTCGTTTACTGTCTTAGCTTGGCTGCACCTGTAAAAGTTCAGCTAGCCTTCAGTAGTTTCTAAATACCTGTTTTTCTTTAAAAGCAAGGTGAACATTGAAGGAGCCTTTACAGTCCTGCAGTCTGAAGTGGGGTGTTTGTCCTTCTCTGTGCTGTTTCTTCACTAAGGGGGACTTCAGGGTGGTGCTTTACAGCTGCCAGGACTCGAGTCTGATTTGGAATCGGTTGGATTTTTGTTCTTCACCTGGGTGAGGGTCAGACTGGTCAGCACAGGTGTGTTTCTTGGACTAGGTCCTTCAGTGACCCTCAGTATTATTGCAGATTTTAATTAATTTGCAGTTTAATTTGCGTAATTTAAATATTTTATTGTAGCATGTTTGGGGCAGGGCTTTTTGGGGTTGTTTTGGTTTTTGCAGTGATGTTAGTTCATTTTTACTTTTCATTTGATTGCAAAAGTGAATATTGTATTAATGCTCTTGCATGGTGGGATCTCTTTTTAACTCCTCAGTATTGTGACCTCAGGGACTGTGAAGTGGTGTGTCCTGCTGGGCTTTAAATCTTTTTTGAGGTGTCATTAAAGTTGTGAGTTGTTTGTTTTTTTTTAAGTAAAGTGGCCTGTCACAGTCGCTGAATGAAGACAAAAAGGTGCTTATTAAGAAGAAAATGTAAAATCAGATCGTGTATTTATTTCTTTTGTTAGTATGACAGTATCTTTCACTGTTACTGGAAATACTTCTTATTGGTATCCTCACATGGCTACTTTGTGTAAAGTTCAGGGGAGTGTGCCTTGTCCTTCTCAGCCATTTTTAATGTCTGTACAGGATCGGGGTGGGGGGAGATGAAGTGGATGTTTCATGTAACTGTGCATAAGCATTTTTCCTTTTCTTTAGCTAGTTGGAAAACTTGCAGCCTGAGATTAAAAAAGCAGCTGAGCGTCTTCGCTATGAAGTGTCTGTTCGTGGAAAGCAAGTGGGCTGGTCTGAAAAGGTGGCCAGGTAAGATGGCTGTTGTAAATTCTTTACACATCTGTTCTTAGAATGGCAAGTCTAACAAACAGCAGTCTTAGAGCAAGGTTCTGCTCTTGCCCAAAGCTTAGATTTTCTTATCCCTTCCATGACTCCTTCATGTTGTTTATATTGCCCTTCAGAATGTATCAATTTCAAAGCTCTGAACTTGTGATAGGTTTGTCATTACAGGGCCAAATCCAAATGTGGTTTTGTTGTCTGCTTGTGGCTGAAGTTTCCTCAGCTATTATTGTCCCTAAGTATTGCAGGGACTTGTGGCTTGAGTGCTTGTGTTCCCACTCATTTGTTAGTGTAGGACTGCACCCCGTTCGTCACTGTACGTAGACTGGGATTCTGAGGATCATGGAACTGGCTGATTGCCTCTGTATTGAGAAAGTTACACCCTAGTTCAGGAAAAAAGGCATCACAGAGTTAAAATATCAGACAAGTAGCAGCCAAAGACAAGGGGAAATTTTGCTGTGGAATGGTGCTTATTGCCACAGGTCTAAAAACTGGGGGGGAAGGGATTGGCAAAAGTGAGGTGTGTTAAAAAAGGAAAGATTTTCATGTGTTCCAGAGTTGGACCCAACTAAGCCAGTTTGCCATGCACAGCCTGTAGCAGTATTATTTCATCATCTGAGAAGTACCCAGGAATTCTGAGAGGTTGCTTTGCTTCTCTTTCCCAAAGTTTTCACTTTAAGAAAAACCTACGGAGGATTATTACGGAGCTGTACGTCCGGGACAACTGCCATCCCTTCAAAGCCACTCTCCTGGTGTGGGTACAGATTCCCATGTGGGTTTGCGTGTCCCTCGCTTTGCGCAACTGCAGCGTTGGTGCCACCTGCTCAGGAGGTAATTAATCTGAACTGACACTCTCTCAACTCTCAGTTTTCCCTCAGTTGCCAAAGGTTTCTGCTTTAGTAGCCTTGATCCTGCAGATCCAGTGTACCTAGAAACTTGGATCATTTGATTGTCACACCCGGTGGGGTTCTGGATAACTTGAGGCAGTAATTCCTACTTAACTCCCTGTTTTCTTTATTCTGTTTGTGTAGTTCAAGAGCAGTTTTCAGTAGGAGGAGCGTTGTGGTTTACAGACCTCACGGCACCAGATTCTACCTGGATTTTGCCAGTTTTGCTTGGGCTGGTGAATTTGCTGATCGTGGAGGTATGTTGGTGGGATAAATAACACGATTGCAAAAAAAGGGTAATACTTTTTATGGAACTGTAAGATAATCCTACCCAGTTATAAAACATGGTAGCGTAACGATTTCTTCAGCTTATTACTGCTTTAAATGCAGAGCTTAAAAATAACTTAATTGTTTTTTGCATTTTAATGTGTGAGTGTCTTGTTTAGAGATACAGATTCTGGTGTGATATGTCTCAGATACTTTATTTGCTCTGCTTGAGCCTCAGAAAAATTTAGTCTTGACACTGAATTTTTCTTTGTTCTAACAAGCTTCCTGGGTGTTAAACATCCAAAAGTACAAGTGGGGGGTTTATGTTTGATTTCCCCTCCCAGTCTGTTACTGCCTTGTGGTCAAAACTAAAAATATGATGTGGTCTTAATAAATTGAAAGAATCTAGATTGCTGGGAAGATTAATCAGCATAAACAGAAATAAAGAGGAAAAAAAAGTCTTGTTTCTCTTTTTTGGGGGTAATTTAATGGCAGTGTTTTTCTTTTTAATTTTTCTGTTAGGTGTTCTTATGAAACTCTAACCTTCTGGGTTTAAATCTTATTCCAGTTCCTTCTATGTCACGTGGACTGAGACTGTCTTAGAGGAAAACAGTGTGTGACTGTAGACCTGATTCTGCTTTTGTTCACTTCACTGTCAACCGTTTTGGGTTGGTTTCCTGTTGGCAGCCTATCCTTGAAGGACTGGCTTCAGGCTGAAGCACTGGGACTTTTGGATGTGCAAAAGTGACTATGTAGTTGTATCACATTGTAGTGATGGTCAGGTACTCTGCTAGCTTGGTAGAGTATTTTCTACAAAGGACTGAACACGTAAAACATCAAACAAGTCAAAGGAAAGATTGTAGCAGTGTGTTAATTGAAACAGTTAATTGAAACATTACTTCTCGCAGGCAAGGTGAAGTCATGGGTGAACAGGAGTGCTGGGTTACAGGAAACCCCACAGTTGCCTTTGTTTCTCATTTTAGTTGTTTCAAAAAGAACTTGTTTATAACTGGGTTCCTCCCCTTTCAGATCTTTGCTTCGCAAAAAAGGGAAGTTTCCAGGTTCCAGAAGCTTGCCACAAATTTCTTTCGAGTGGTGTCTGTGGTCATGATCCCTGTTGCAGCAACAGTCCCATCTGTAAGTACCTGTGACCCTGGGATCTTCCTGCTGCCTAAAGAACAGCCACACACCTGCTGTGTTTCATAGACCATGCACTCTATTCCAGTGTGCCTTCAAACAAATCAGGGCTTTTCTCTATGTATACATTTAAATTCTTAACCCATTTGGAATATTGTTGTCCAAGAGGGAAGAATCTGCAAACTTACTCTTTTCAAACATAATTTTTGGGGCTTGGAAGGACGTTCAGAGCAGGATAGCATCTTTCTGTCAGCTCAAAACTGAAAGTTTTACATAGGGACATATAAAGAAAGATTTGCTCAGTGTTTGCTAACTGTAAAAGAAAAGCAGTGCAGTTTTTAGGTAGGGAAATCTTCCAGTGTCTTCTTAAAACACTCCTAATTTTTACCTCATGTGCTACTTCTGAATATTTTTGCCATGGTTAATACAGTCTGAAATACAGAAGTTTCAGCAAGTTTATTAATTAATTCTTGAACTGTTGTCAAACTTCAGCGTAAGTGACTTTTTTTTCTCAGATGAGTTGAGAAAGAGTGAAAAATACATTTGAAATAGAAGTCATTATTGTTATGAGGGAAGTGGTTTTAGATCAGTTACTTTTTTGGATATACTGGGAAGTAAAGAGTGGTTGTGGCCTAAAACTGTCACGTTGTGGTTGCACCTAGAGGGGCTGAGCTCAGTCCTTGTCTCGTTGCAGTCCATGGCCTTGTACTGGCTGGCCTCCAGCTCCATGGGCCTCGGGCACAACCTGCTGCTGCGCTCCCCGGCCTTTCGGCGGCTGTGTTTCATACCAAAGACCAAATCTGACTCGGATACTCCTTACAGGGATATTGTGTCTGCCTTGACCACCAGATACAGCTTTAAGAAATGATGGCATTTCAACTGTCGGAGGAACTGTCCCACAGGTGTTGCATGGGTGATGAAGTAATGCTGGTTTATTGTGATGTGCTTATTTACTGTAAAATGCTGCAGCTGGAATTACATCTATTTTCCAAATAAAGTATTGAGTATCTGACCGCAAGAAATGATTGTTCAACACAAATGTATGTTTATTGGGAAGTTTCATTTCAAGGGTGGTTGTTTTGCAGTTAAAATAGTCCAGTAATAGAGGTTTGCCTCCTGAACTGTTGTAAGGAATTGCACAGATGAATACTAAATAAAGCTGTGACTCATGGAGGCTGCCTTCTTGGAGTGAATCTGATCTGACCTACAGGCCAGCAAACAAGTTTTGTGGTGAGGCTCAATGGGCTGATGCTGTGGTTATTGGTTTATTTAATTGAGGCAGTGGTGCAGATTGATAGGTAATTGGATACAGTTGTTCCATGTCCAGGCAGTTCATGTGAGGATCCTCAGAGCAGTTTGACAGCTGATTTCCTGTCACTGCATAGTAAACTGGGTCATCATTAGTCTCTTGTGCATTAGATTTGGAGGACAAGATTCTTGTGTTGTTTCTGGTGATCACCTGTTGAGTGACTGTTTCTTCCTGATCTCTTTTCTCATAAATAAAGTAGCAGCTGCTTATTGTATATACTTAAAATGAGGCAAGTAGCACTTTGAAAAAGAATGAATTATGGTAAGAAACAAAATACTCAACTGTCTGTATCTTTTTTAATGCAAGTACTAAATTACATTATGCCTTAAAGGACCTTAAAGGATATTTTTTCATGTAAACAGTGTGATTACATGTAAACACTTCCAATCAGGTTGAGATTTACATCTCTTCTTTCTTGGTCTACACTGTAAGCCAGCAGACACACATTGTGGCACTGCACCATGATGGGCCTTTGCACAGAAGCCTGTGCATGTTGGGTCTCATAAGTTGTCTGTTTTCTTAGAGAGGCAGAAATCAGGGTAGGGGGCAAAGCATTGCTTGTTTTCTTTGTTCTCAGATGGTTGTCATAGTGCAGAGTCAGAATGATTCATGTTCTAACAGTTAGTGCTCTTTGATCATAGGAAGTGATTTTTAAAATAACTAGGATTTTTTCATCCTTAGTGAAAATTGTTTATCACTGGAAAGAGAGAAGCAAGTGGAATACCAGGCAGGTGGAGACAACAGTAGCAAGCCAACAGTCAAATGTGATTGTTGTGGTGGAAAGAATCTGTAGTCATGTTAGTTTCCTGTCTCCCTGACCCCTGAGCAATAGTTAGGGTTAAAGGAGTTTATCAAGGTCTGGTGTGTAGATAGGGCAGGGATATTTGTGTCACAAATATTTTTTTAAATTAAATGTTCCTAATTTTCAGTCCTGGTACTGCACATTGTCTTGTAGTGGATGTTTTTTTGCTAAGGGAATGGATGATACATTCTCTCACACTTGATTCAGAAGCTTTCAAAAAGTCACGTAAATTCTATTTTCTTAATACATTTTATTTGAATTTAATATTGCCATATGGTTTTTCAGATTGTGACCTACCTGTTAGGGTTGAATGACAGCAGTAGCATTTGGGCCTGTTTTCTTACTGTGGAATTTATGCAGCCAGCTGTTGGCAGGACAAAAGCAGGTGGGTTTCCTAATCTGGCTGTATGTCTTTGAGAAGTGCCAGCAATGGCCTGGTAAGGTGATGAGGTGAGAAGAAGTCCTGAGTTTCCCTGAGGTGCCTGTTTGTTGGAGGGGAGCAACTCTGCTGAGCTGTGTTAGGAATGAAGCGTGCAGGTGAAGGGATGTTGTTATTCCCTGGCAGTTCTCCAGGCTACATCTGGATGCTCTGTCTAGTTTTGGGCAGGTTTATCCATGGATATGTTTTCACTGGTTACGAATCTCAGAACACCAATGATACAGCTACATCTGTATGCTGCCAGAATGTTCCTGTGCCTAAGAAACCTTCCACGTGTGAAACTGCAAGTTAAACGAGGCAGTGAAAAGTGTCTTCTCTAGGAATATCTGTCTAACAACTCAACTCCAAACCCACGGGTAAGGAGGTCATGGCATGGAGTCAGAACTGATGCGGTAAAGCCTTTTTGAGGGTTGAATCAGATGCAGGAAATTGTTTCTAGATTTTCAGAGGGTATTACAGAACTTTCTCAATGTCATACTCTCATTCTATCTTAGCTGAAGGTACTGGAAAGAGGGTATGCACAAAGGTAGAATGCATTTTTGGCTGGTAAACTGGCAGGAGGGGGAGCTGGTGCTCCATGCAGCTGAAGGAGAAAAATGTCCTTTCCACCTGTCTCAGCATGGTTAATGTTCCCTTCCAGCTTCTGGGCAGGGCCTTAAACCAGACATGTCTTTCTCGTAGTAAAAAAATCCATATGGCATTTCTTGGGATTTCAAGAGTCCTGAAGTTGATGGCTGAAAAATATTTCAGACAGGTTAACAGCTCTGTCAGGAAACTAAATGTTTGGTACATGAAATTGGCTTTGTTAGATTTGCTGTTCTTTTCACTGTACTTGCAAGTCTGCTGACTTGCTGACTGCAAGTACTTTCTAAGCTCTGAGTTGCCCTAGGTTCTGGGGGAAGAAGCAGCTTTGTTTCCTTTGGTATTATGTCTCTGCCAGAGCAAGCAATATTTGGCATATAGACATAAAGAGAACTAGCTTACTTAGTACAGTTACATACAGATGTAGATACATGTACACCATAGGTTTTAATAAATATGTATTCCTGCATGCAGATAATCGTGTATGCTGGAGAGCTGGCAGATCCTTGTCATGGGAAAGGTACACATAATCACTGCCCCAGCAAAGGTATGTCAGGGACCAGTTTAAATGTGGGGCTACTTTGTCAGCTGTCAGAAGCATTTACATGAAATGCTCTGTAACAATTGTTTTGGTGTATCAGTTACCATCTGACTGTGTCTTGTTTATTTCTGAAATCCCCATGAATCCATTTGCAGCAGAAAGATTGCTGTGCTGAACTGAAGGCAGCCTAGCCTGTGTGTGTGAGTTTTGTGGATTATTTTCTCTGTCTATCTGTTCTGCATGCTTCCCATTCCAGCTTTACTGAAAACAAACTAAGTAAATTAACAAAACCCACTTGTAACAAAAGATTTGAGATTTTATAAAGGAGGAGTTTCCTTTTTAACTTCCCTCTGTTTCTTAGCTTGAAATACTCTTAAGAAAGATGAGTTGGTCAGTGTCACATTCAAGATGCAAATGTCAGTATAATATAACACCATTTACAGAGCACCATAGGATAGTGCTGTTGTCTGCCAGAGAATTTGATCCTGTGCCAGTCCACTGGGTTTTCTTTGTGGTTGTTTTAGGTGGGGAATGCAAATTCTTAATTCAAAGCCCAGTGATTAGGATGGATTCCTTGAAGTGCAGGAGTTTTTTCAAGGGCTAAGTGTCATTTTTGGCATTTTATTTCTGTGGTTTCTGGAAAGAAAAAAGTGCTTAAGTATTGTTGAATATGCTGCTGTACACACGGGGGTGCTCAAGCTGTAGTTCACGTTGTTGGGCTTTCAGGGCTCTAGAATCTAGGGCAAGCAGGCAGGCCTCAGATCAAAACGGTTTTCTTCCTCTGTCTTTCATCTTGATGCTGTTTCAGAACTTAATCAGCCCATCCTTTTGCAGCATCCACTGCTTTTCCACCTCATTGCTGCGTCCCTTTGAAGTAACCCAGTGTTTAACACTGCTGATCTTTAAAATAATGACAAGAACTTGCTAGCTGCTCCCTCTTTGGGGGTTGAGGATGCCAAATGGGGATTGGCAGGTGTGGGGACAAATCCCTCTTAAGGACTAGTTGTCTTTGCAAAGCCATCTGTTTGTGCAGCCAGCTGGCAGGAAAACTTCTCTTTTCTCTTTTCACTTGTTATTGTTGGACTACCTGTATTTAATTGATCTGACTTATTTCGAATGGGAAAAAGAATGCCCCTCCTTCCTTTGAAGCTAAGAGTAACAGCAGCTGCAGTTCTTACAAGTTGAGGGTTGCTGGTCTGTTTTTGAAGTTTGAGGGATCACAAGTTAGTCTCTTAAAAGAGAGGGGAATTTGCAGCACATGAAAATTGGCAGAGAGAATGAATGCCCTTAATCCCTCTTTTTTTTTTTAATTCTTTTTTTGCCCCTTTACTTTGTATATTTAGGTTAGTTTAGGCCGTGATTTCATAATATTATGACTAGACATTGCTGGATTTCAGCATTACAGTTGTGGTCTGGATCAAGCTGGACTGTGCAGTTGCATTTGTGTCAAATGAGAGGACACAAACATGGGTTTTCTGCTGACGTCAGGGCTTTGTGTTGCCAGCGTCATGCCAGCTGTGGGAGGACGGGTGATAGCAGAGGTAGCAAACAGGAAGACAATGTGTGCTGCAAGCCTGAAGCTACTGAGTTAACCTGCCAGAGGCTTTTGAACACATGGAAGTCCCAATGTGATTTTGTAAGAAGGTATCAGGGCTTTTCATCAATGTCACCATGGTGGTTTTGATCAATTTTTGGTGCATACAGTTACTCTGTAGTGCTGCTTTTCACAGGGATCCTTAACAAAGTCTGTGTAAGTGAAGTGCCTAACTTTTGTGCATGTTAAGGTGAGTGCACACATCCGTTTGTTCCTTTATTTAAAGAGTAGAGCTTTGTAGACTCATTTGACTTAACTGCCCATTCATGATTTGAATGCTAGATAATAAAAACCATGTATCTGCTTTTATGTAGTTCCGTGGTAGAAAATAACAAAGAAATCTGGAGTATTATCAAAGGCAATGAATGAAAACTGGAATTTAAGCCAATTATTCTTATCTGATTTCATACTTAGACTGGTGAATTAACTACTTCAGAGAGATTATGATGCTCTTAAATTCTGTTCCACATAGTACTGATAGGGGCAGGCTAAGGATCACGTAGTCTGGTGTAAATCTAAAGAAACTTCGCAACTCAGCAAACCTTTTCATCTGCATTCTAAGTGTTGTGGTTTGAGCCATTTTATTGAAGGGTTTTTTCAA